TGTGCCTTTTTCTCACTGTGTTACTCTCATACTCTGCCAAAATGTTTGATAATTTTATTTTATTAATTACTATTTTCATTAAATTACATGTATCTTGTTGTAATACGTGGTGGGAAATAAAACTATTATTATTATTATTATTATTATTATTATTAATACTCGTTGTCCCTTTAGGAACGTCACAAAAACCGCCCCTGCCATTCCGAAGGTATATTGAAATCGATTGACTGCTCAATTCTTCGATGCATCGTCGTTTTTTATGTGTTCATATGAATTCTTAAACATCCCCTTGCGAGCTATTCAGAAATTTGTTTACCGACTCCTACACGCGCCATCAAATTTTTATGCGTTTTAGGACCCAAAGAAATGTTCCATATTGCTCTACCTGTCAATATCAAGTTGTATAGGTCGCGTGCAAGAACTGTCAGATGACCGACCCTGGAGGCAAAACATATTTGTTTACAAGTGATCGAAATAGTTTTCCACAATTATTTTGGCATATGAATCGTATTTTTCCGCTATTCATCAGTTCGCTAATGCCATCACATTGTGCTGTTGTAAAATGCACAAAAACTGCAGCGGAAGATGAAGAAATCCGGATGGTACATTATGATTCAAAAGTAAGTACCTACTATAGTCACTCACATAGTTTTCATTTTTGAAATTTGATTATTTCTCTGATTTCTCATCGGAATTCCTTCTGCAATAGGATCAGCTAATAGAAATATACTTGAAATTTCTAGGATAATGCAAGAAGATTGGATTCATGCAATCAATCGGTAGGACTGGTCTGACATGCTGACGATCGTGTGTGTTGTAGACATTTTCAATCTATTAGCAGCATTAGCTTGTATTGCAGAAGTGGCAGAAGGCAGAAGGAATTTTAATAAGGAATGACAACATTTCATAATGCTAACTATGTGAGATTACTATTTACCTGAAAAATTATATTCCTTAGTCTCTTGCTGCATTTTTTGTGCATCGTACAACAGCACAATGCGAAGGCATGCTTGAATTAATGAATAACGCAAGAAACACGATTGGTATGCCAAAATATTGTGAAAAACTATTTCAGCCTTTTGATTCCTCTGTAACCAAACAAAAAAGTGAGGTTGTGTTTCAATAATTCACAGAAGAATGAGGTTGTGTTTCAATAATTCACAGAAGAATGAGGTTGTGTTTCAATATTTTGCCTCCAGGGTCGGTCATCGTGCACGCGACCTATACGGTGTGCCTGTTTGAAGTTTTCATGAGTCCAAAATGTCAAAGGAATTTTCTAGGAGTTAATGGAATTATTTGGATGGCTGTTCTTATTAATCTATCAACAGCTTTGCAGACGATAATAATCCTGTTAGATAGTAAAATAATCAGTTCTCTCCTGCTCTAAATAACATCCTGTGAAAAGGAATTGTTTTGTTAGTTTTTGACTTATTATAATTAATGATGTATCAAGTGTCAAACAAATATATTATACTTGTCATCATTAAAAAGTAGTTCTCGAAAGAACTGTGTACTTCTGCCGATTTACTAGAGCAGTGGTTCCCAACCTTTTTCCAGTCATGACCGCTTTTGGATTTGCTTAAAAGGTCGCGACCCCCCATTGAAAATATTGACATCTCCTTATTTAATATAAAAAGAAACAACTTGATAACATTCATATCATTTATTTGGTATAATGTTAATGAGAGAGAGAGACTGAGCTTGCATCTGCATAAGTTCCAAAATTCTTGGTTGAGTGCGTGTCAAAGCCAGTCTTATGTCATCTTGAACATCCAGTTCATTTCTCGCCTTTGTTTTAATTTGTAAAAGTGTTGAAAAACCACTTTCACAGAGATAGGTCGAAGCAAATGGTACTAGTACCCGCAAAGAAAGCAGAGCGACATTAGGATATAAACAATATATGGCACACCAAAATTCAGTCAACGTTTTTTCCTGGAATAGGGCACGTGCTGTGGAATCATTTTTAAGATCTAAAAATTCATCTTGCAATTCATCAGGAACGTCGGCAATATCTAACGAGGCGTGGAATGGGTTCCTTACTACTGCAGCTTCTTGGTCAGACAGCTCGGGAAAATAACGTTGAATTTCATTTTCAAGGGATTCAAGGTGATAATCAATTTCCTCTTTTAGATCCCCCGCAATTCCTGCCTCTGATACTTCAACCATGGTGCTCAGGTTTTCAAACATTGTAAAGTTTTCTAGATTTACTTTACGTCGCCAGTTTCCAATCTTGGACACAAATGCTTCGAGATTATCTTTAAAATAGATGAGGTGCAAGTCCTTTCCCTGAAGTTTCAGATTCAACTTGTTCAACTGACCAAAGATGTCCGATAAATAAGCATAAGTCAAATGTAGAAACATTTACCTATACATATTGCAATGTTGTTGAAACTTGCACTGGTTGAAATTTTTGGGCCTAATGGCGCCCCCCCCCCCCTCCCATATGTACATCGCGACCCACCGGTTGGGAATCACTGTACTAGAGGTTATGGGCCTCGTTAGCGCAGTGGTTGGCTAGTGAAATAATCAGTTCACTCCTGCTCTAAATACCATCGTGTGAAAAGGAATTGTTTTGTTAGTTTATGACTTATCATAATTAATGATGTATTGAGTGTCAAAAAAAATATTATACTTGTCTTCATTAAAAAGTAGTTCTCGAAAGAACTTTGTACTTCTGCAGATTTACTAGAGGTTATGGGACTCTTTAGCGCAGTGGTTGGATAGTGAAATAATCAGTTCACTCCTGCTCTAAATAACATCCTGTGAAAAGGAATTGTTTTGTTAGTTTTTGACTTATCATAATTAATGATGTATTAAGATGTTCAAGAAAAAAAAATACCAGTCATCATTAAAAAGTAGTTCTCAAAAGAACTGTGTACTTCTGCCGATTTACTAGAAATCCTCATACTGCGTTCTCTTCTAGGATTCCTATTTTTTCCCAGGAAACTAAGAACTTACGACGAAGATCTTGCGGCAGTCAGCACATCCTTTAGTTGTCAACCTCGAAATATGTCGAACAGCTCTATATCAAAACTCGTTTAACTAAAGAACGGGAAAGTTCTGGAAATCATTGCCTAAGGAAGTATTTCCATAATATCTAGAAGTTGAAAAAAATTTCCAACACCCACCTCTTCTCCATATCCTCCATAGGTACCCACGATGTTCTTCGAACATTATACAGAGTGTCCCGTGAAGACCACGTCAAACCTACGGTGAATGTAGATCGAAGAATAACCCACCTCTGCATATGACAACATTCCCATTCTTACCGTTTTCGAGATTTTTTTTTGAAAATATCCACCACCAAAGTTTTTAATAAACATTTTTCTCACAGCCCCCCTTTGAATGTTCGGAGTATTTTTAATGTATACGATAAAATCATTCAGCAATATTTACTGAAAAAATGAACCAAAAAGGTGTAAAATTGTACCAACCGTACAGACAAAACTATTGGAAGGGGCAAGAATTCAAAAAAAAAAATCTCGAAAACGGTAAGACTTTTATAATGGGAATTTTGTCATAGCAGGTGGGTTATCCTTTGATCTACATTCTCCCTAGGTTTGATGTGGTCTTTACGGGACTAAATAGCCACAATGCTCAAAAGTGAAATGAAATGTTGAATAAATACAATGTCCGTGAAATGAACAACAATGATAGATTTCGGAAGAAAAGCAACTACTTTCCTGGCTAATTCCACGCAGAACATTGAATTACATCCCGAAATCTATGCTTCGACTCGTATAAACGAAAACTGATACAAGTGAATCTTTTCTGAATGCCTATTGATTTGTATTGATTTGTTCCACCATCCCCACCAAGCCCACCATATCTATGCTCGGTATTTCCATCAGCAACACTCTTTCATGGGATAATCATGTCAGATCCATCGCAAAAGCTGCTTCACAAAAACTCGGATTCTTGTTCCGTGCGAAAAGCTACTTTACACCTCAACAGCTCCACATGATCTACAAAGCGCAGATACGGCCTGTTCTAGAATACTGTTCCCACATATAGGGTTCAGCACCAAAACATACGCTGATGCTCTTAGATTCCATCCAGAGAAGAGCCATTCGCCTGGTGGGTGACGCCACACTCACTCACTCTTTGACATCATTGGAACACCGTAGAAAGGTCGGCGACCTTTCACTTTTCTATCGAAACTTCCACGGGAAATGTTCTTCGGAAATCTCTGCTATCATCCCTTCACTAGCAATACCAATCAGCCGAACTAGACAAGCCCAGTCAGCACATCCTTTCGTTGTCAACCTCGAAAGATGTCGAACAGCACTTTATCAAGACTCCTTCATCCATAGAACGGCTAGGCTCTGGAATTCATTGCCTGTGGAAGTATTCCCAACAACATATAATCTCCAAAAGTTCAAAAAAAATTCCAATACCTACCTCCTGTCAATATCCTCCCTAGGAACGCACGATGTTCTTTGAACATTATAAGGATTCCCTTTCGTGCGCTCCAAGCGATAAAAAAAAATTCAGCCAGGCCACGCAAGACACCTACAGACCGGTTTCCAGCTCTTTGACTCTCATCAGTGCAGGGCAGTCTCCAACCAGCAGTCCTAAGACCGCCAACTAAGCGTAACCTAGCCAAACAAAAATCAAGTCGCAATTATATTCCCTCAGAGGCGTCCTCCATAGACATGAACGCAACGCCATCTGAGTAGAAAAGAAGGAAAGAAACACTATAAAACAGAAATTCACATACGGGAGTGGCTGGTTGCCCGACTGGCGTAATTTCAACTACGAAATAACCGCACAATCCTCAAAGTGGAATGAAATGTTAAATAAATACAAAAAGCTCGAAGTCTAGTCTGTACTACTTTCTTCCCTTGTATAATAAATAACTATTGTTTAAATTGAATTCAATGCTTTTTTCACACAGATTGTCGCCCCATCCCCACACAACCCCCCGAGCCGACAAAGACAGACGACGTTCGAATTGCGTTCGCATCGAGAAAACGAGGGAGACCAAGCGACAGCTAAAGATGCGGCTGACGCTGGCGTTGGCCTGCCTGCTGGTCGCGACTGCCGCCGCCGCTCTCCACGAGGTGGCGCACCTGTCGTTCGCCGGCTCGGCGCGGTGCCCGAGGGCCTGCGTCTGCGCAGGCGCTGCTGTGGACTGTTCGAGGCGGGGATTGGTCTCTGTGCCGAGGAACGTGCCGACGGACACTGAAAGACTGTGAGTATCAATTCTATTTCAATTGTTGTATTTTACGACCATTCGAATGATGACCACAGTCATCTGACTCTCTTATCATGAATGCTGGTGTTCCGCAAGCACGAACACTATTTCTACTCCATATCAACGATTTGTTGGAAGCAACTTCATGTCCAGTACACAGCTTCGCGGATGATAGTACCCTCCATAGAGCCTTCTCTTCCAAGGCTCCAATACCAGCCAGGCACATCAGAAACGAACGAGGAAGAAATGTTGACAACATAAATTATGGACTTGGCAACGATTTTCGAATGAGGATCCAATAACTTGGTAGATTTCAATGCAAACAAAACACAAGCATGCATTTTCTCTAGAAAAGTCGATCTCACTGTGCCCAACATGAGCTTTTCAGGAGTACCCATACCTTTGAAGACATCTATTTCGATGCTTGGTATTGCTATCACCAATAACCTTTCTTGGGAAAATCACGTGAGATCAATCGCTAAGAGTGCATCCCAAAAACTTGGTTTTCTGTTTCGGGTCAGGAGCTATTTCACTTCCAGTAAGCTGTTCATGATCTATAAGGCACAGATCCGACCTGTTCTGGAATACTGTTCCCATATTTGGAGTGCAGCACCCAAACATACCCTGAAACTGTTGGATTCTGTCAAAAAAAGGACAATTCGTCTCGTGGATGATGCCTCGCTCACAAACTCACTCACTTCTCTTGAACACCGTTGAAAAGTGGCGATCTGGTTCTATTTTATAGATATTTTCATGGACGATGCTCTTCTGAAATATCAACAATTGTTCTTCCCTTGGCAGTCCCCGCGAGATCAACCCGTCGAGTTGAGGCTTCGCACCCCTTCGTGGTCAATTTGGAGACCTGCAGAACATCTCTTTCCAAATACTTGTTCATCCAACGAACAGCAAGGCTCTGGAACACATTGCCAAGAGAAGTGTTTTCCGAGGCTTAGAACCTCCAGAAATTTAAGAAGAACACCAATTCCTACCTTAATTCCCTTGGTTCTCACGATGTTCTCAGAACATTACAAGATATCCGTTTTCGTGGGAACCAGAACATAAAAAAAAACAAAAACAGATATGCAAAACCTGATTTGGCCATCATAAGTTTCACATTAAAGTAGAACAGGGACGTGAAAATCGCAATAACATTGCAATATGCAATAACAACCGAGGAACCTGATAGTCTCAACCAAAATGGTATGCACTGTACACATTTCTTGTTATTGTCATGTCATTGGTTCCTCAAATTATTCTCACATTATTAACACCATGAAAAATGTCGATAAGCCTCGACGAAGTTTCTATATTGGTTATTGAAAATTTCAGGATATATTCGTGAAAAATATTTCGCTAGTAAATTCCACCTATTCACTAGACGCAACAATTCTTGTTGCGGACACATCACATAACAAACGTTTCTGTCATATTTTTAAACCGCAGACAAATTGCACGGAAAACAAAATGCGACTGCCACATGCAGTTGTTTAATTGGATGAAAAATAAAAAAACGCGAGAGAGATTCATTGCACACTCGAGAGGTGATATTATGCATTTATTTGAGGTCCAACTCAGGCGTTAATCTGATATGCTGCTTCCGTAATACAATTTCCGGTTTTGCAGGGGTTTGTACAGGATGTTGTTTTAAAACCCCTTGATATTTGAAGTATTTTTCGTCTCAATAAAATGTCACTATTATCTCCACAATGAAAGTTCTATGATTGAATAAAATGTCGAGGTGTGGAAGTAATTGTTTCCTAATATCTGATTCTGGGATATACAGTGTGTGCGATTTCAACCCACAACACAAAAACAAAAATTCAATAATATCACAGAATACTTGAGTATTCTGTGATAATATATTACTCAACAAGCTTTTTTCGAAAATGTGAACAAATCTGAAATATTCAGATTTTCAAGGCCAACTTTCGTTTGTCGAACGGGTCAAAATGTCAAAAACGACTCTTAGGTACTTTTTTCCGAAACAGTGACAAGTCTATTCGATCTAGGCATAGCTGAAATGCTTCCATACGACATTTTTTTTTTTTTTTTTTTTTTTTTATTTTTTTTTATCGCTTGGAGCGCACGAGAGGGAATCCCTATAATGTTCAAAGAACATTGTGCGTTCCTAGGGAGGATAGGGACAGGAGGTAGGTGAATTCCAGAGCCTAGCCGTTCTATGGGTGAAGGAGTCTTGATAAAGTGCTGTTCAACATCTTTCGAGGTTGACAACGAGAGGATGTGCTGACTGGGCTTGTCTAGTTCGTCTGATTGGTATTGCTAGTGAAGGGATGATAGCAGAGATTTCCAAAGAACATTTCCCGTGGAAGTATCGATAGAAAAGTGAAAGGTCGCCGACCTTTCTACGGTGTTCCAATGATGTCAAAGAGTGAGTGAGTGTGGCGTCACCCACCAGGCGAATGGCTCTTCTCTGGATGGAATCTAAGAGCATCAGCGTATGTTTTGGTGCTGAACCCCATATGTGGGAACAGTATTCTAGAACAGGCCGTATCTGCGCTTTGTAGATCATGAGAAGCTGTTGAGGTGTAAAGTAGCTTTACGCACGGAACAAGAATCCGAGTTTTTGGGAAGCAGCTTTTGCGATGGATCTGACATGATTATCCCATGAAAGAATGTTGCTGATGGAAATACCGAGCATAGATATGGTGGGCTTGGTGGGGATGGTGGAGCCAGACATTACAATATCGGGCATACTGAGTTCCGCCTTTCTAGAGAAAATGCAGGCTTGAGTTTTGGTGGCGTTGAATTCAACTAGGTTGTTTGTTCCCCAGGCTGTGATTTCAGCAAGATCTTCATTGACAGCATTGACCTGCCTGCGCCGTGAGTTCCTAGTTTCCTGGGAAGAAATGGGAATTCTGGAAGAGAACGCAGTATGGAGGGTACTATCATCTGCAAAGCTGTGGATGGGGCAAGTTGTTACTCCCAACAGATCATTGATATGAAGCAGGAATAATGTTGGTGCCAAAATTGATCCTTGTGGAACGCCGGAATTGATGCCAATGGTATCAGACGATACACCGTCCACCACCACGTGAAGCGATCTGCCTGAAAGAAAACTCGATAAGAGATGGCATAGTTGAGGTGGTAAGCCGTATGATGGTAGTTTGTGGAGGAGTCCTTCGTGCCATACACGGTCGAATGCTTTCGATATGTCCAACGCGACAGCTAGAGATTCCCCGTGTTTTTCTATTGAAGATTGCCATAAATGGGTGACGTAGGCAAGTAGATCTCCAGTAGATCTTCGGTGGCAAAATCTCATGTAGGGTGTTAGTTATTCAATGGCAAATTTTGATATTCTTTAATTTTCGATTCACCCTGTATAAAAATCTAAGGAGTTCATGTAAGTGGTGAAGATGGGGAAGTGGGAATATTTCAGCAATGCCTGAATCGTATTGCCTAGTCATTGTTTCGAAAAGAGTTGCCTAATAGTCGGTTTCGAAATTTTGACTCCTTAAACAATCAAAAGTATAGGCCTTGAGAATAGAGTACGTTGACTATATTATGAAATTTTTGTTTTTGAAAATTGAAAGTCACGCAAGGAAGAGAAATTTTTGTTGGTATAGCTCCTTAGATGGTATTCAGGATACCCATACATTTTAACTAATTCATGATCCTTGGATCCACCTCTGTGTGTTATAAAAAAATCCAATAGATTTCAAAAAATTCCATAAAATTTACAATTCATGAGAATTTTCATCAACTCCAGATAATTCCAAGAGATTTCGGGGAATTCTATATAATTTTGAGACATTCCAAAAGATCCCAAACCAGCCAATGATTTATGCACAAGTTGATTCCAGAAATTTCCAAGGAATCCCAGATAATTCCAAGTTCTAGAGAAATACATACTCGGAATTTTTGCAATTCCGGATGATTTCAGAGAATTTCGAGGAATTGTAAGTATCCGAGAAGGGCCCAAAAAAATCACTCTCACTGGTGATTTTTGAGATTATCTCGAAAGATCCTATATAGACTCAGCTGATATTGATTTTTTTCCAGTTCTATACTGAGGATGGCAACATGGTTGCCGTAATACGTATTTGGGCTCTTCTAGATATTTGTGTTGTATTTCGGGTTATATTTTTTCATTTTTTCATTGTCAGTCATACTTTTCAGGATATATTTTTCGTATGTTTTTACCTCTCTGTAAGTTCTATTTTTTATTGAACCACTGTATGGATTCAAAATATTCACCATAGTTCAATGAATCAGTTGAATTCAGTGACATGTCTACTACCACTCCCAGATTACAGTCAGCTTGTTAGTCAATGTATAACTTTGTAATTGAAATCAATTATTAAATACCTGTAGGTAGTCTTTAATCGAGTCTTTAATTTCGTAGATATTCATGAAATAATGACAATGTATAGGTACTGATAATCATAAGAAGAAACCAAACACTGAATTGCTTCTAACATTTTATAATAGTGAATTACAATGTTCCAAAGAGCAAAGTTACTTTTAGCTTCATATTATTCAATATTCTTCCTTCTAATAAAACACCAATGAAGAACAATCAATTGAAGTTGTCCCACCCATTCTAATATCTCTTTTTGTTCAAATATACCCGATCGACATGTTACATCAGCTTTCCATTTTAGTAATCTCTTTATTAATTGATTTTCCGGCTTGTAGGTTGAATTGCCTCGTCAATACAAGAAAAAGATTATTCTATCAATATTCATAGCACTTACAGCAACAGCATTAATTAAACCATTGACAAGTCCAGATAAAAAAACATATTGATTGTCAGCTATTAGAAATATCTGTCTAATTACGATAACTAATGAATACCTTTATGAATTAATAACTTTTCTTGGTCTTTATTTATCTATTTTTTTCACTTTGTGTTCTTAGAGATTAGTGTTAATTACTTATCACAGAAATAAATATATTGTTCAATGAATGAATTTCAAGTTGATATACCTTTAACAGATCCTTATACGTTTAGAACTGGAGAAACATGTTTTTTCACT